GTTTATCATTGCCTCGGATAATAACCCTCAATGTAGCTACGAAGAGTAACTGAGCTTCGATGAATCTTCTCAGATATCATTGTTGCGGGGACCTTTATTTCGTAGGAAATCACATGAATATGAGATTCGTAGGTTGGTCTTGTGGACTGTGTCAACCTGAACACCGTATTAAAGCCAAGCGGCTGCAGTACAACGGGATACATCCGTCGTCTTCCGGTGAGATCAACCTACGAAGCTTTTCTTCATGCACTTTCATACGAAATGAAGATCTCCTCAACAATACTTTCCCTCAGGCAGTTAACCAAGCGTGTACTGTCGGTGCTAGATAATGTTCTAGAATGCGCTTCGCCTCGAAAAACGCAAAAGAGGAAACTATAAAAGATCGCAATTAATTTGGCTACTGCTGTAGAAAATATACCATTTACGATTCCATTCAGGGGTGTTGGTGAAGCCTAGGCCGGGTCGAAACTCCAGTAAACCCCGAGTAGGAGACTATCTTTGAGAAAGCAAGCCTGAGTGAAAGTATATGAAATCGTGAAGTCTAGCTATAGCATTGATGAAAAATTCAACTATCAGTCATCCTTCACATTTTGCGACCTATAGGGGATGCGATTCTTATTAAAGATCTACTGCTAGCCCCGAAACCCACTCCTGAATGGCTCGAAATGTGGATAATTGCAGGCGCTGTGACAACCTACAGGGAAGGGATGACAGTTTCATGTGACAACTACTCGTTTTCATTAAAAGAAAAGAGTTACTCTTGACAAAATCGCAGTATTAAATGGGGCATAACCTCTAATCGACAGAGTTCGAGTTACATCGTGGACTCAAATGAGCCAATTGAACGGACTGTTTGAAAAGTCAGACGAGTAATTATAGCTTTTACGTCAGGTTTCTGTCAAACCTTAAGACACTTGTATTCGTACTATTGGCTAACCTGCCCAAAAGGATCTGCCTCTAGTCCTCCTTCACCCGAATGATGCTACCCGAACTAGTTCTGAAGGATTTCTCTTGAGCTGATTCAGAACACTTTTTATCCATGTTATGTGTTTGCCTTAATGCATTCTCTTTAAAATGATAGACGATCATAAAAGGTAGTGGGGAATAAAATTGGTCTTCAGGGAAATGACGACATTTTCTTCAGCTCTGCCCACTTTTGGAGAGAAAGTTGACCCATTTTACAGATCGGGTTGCTATAATATAATGTGTTCATGTTGTCATTTATATGCTGGAGAGACTTTTCATCCCATTAGGCAAAGGATGGTTGAGCACAAAAGCTCCTGGAGGGGCTGTAGGGCTTAAAAATTAGGATTAGCTGAGCAAATGGCAGAAACATGAAATGATATTAAATGGTCTGAATCTTTTAATTTTGCTGATTATAGCACGTCCGCGGCTAAACGTAAAATTAGAGAGGTCACCGAAATAAACCGAATAGGGAATACATTGAATGTAAGGAATAGCGGTTAAGTAAAAATTACTTTTGCTTAATTAATAAACTCAAGGGTAGAAAGGGTGCTAACCCATCTTCAAAAAGAGACGATACAACAAGTCTTTTATTTTGTTCTACTTTTTAGGCAACTTTCACTATCACAAGAAGACAAAAAGCGCATCAAAATAACTAGACGTGCGTCCAACCTTGCGAAATCAGATTGATACCTTAAAGGCTGAGAATATACGTTACTTTTTCTGTTATAATCACTTTAAGCCATCACTGCTGGCTTCGTACATACTGCATACCCACATAGACACACATATAAACACAACCACCTGCATCGAGGTTGATATATGACTTGAACCAACAAAATCAGAATATATATATATATATATATAACTTAGAGATAAATTAGTTAGCTTTCGTGATTTGTTAGCTTGAATATGGTTGTATGAATGGTAGTCTGCTTTAAAGGTGTTTGTCATACGACGAACGAAAGCTTAACACGTTTCCACAGGATCCGAAAGAGATTGCCTTGGAAACAGCATCAATAAGAATGTTCGAGGAAAGCCAATTGACGGCTATTCAAAAGCCGTCGTCTTCTGGTGGGATTGACCTTCGAATCTCTCCACCAAACACTTTCACTCGAAATGGAAGTAAGCTCAACAATTGTGAAAAAAGAGATTCCTCTGAACCACACTTTTCTTCACAAAAACTATTTTTCTCCCATCGTAAAGCTTATCTTCACTCTTGCTCTTCCTTGCCTGGAACTAGAATTTAGACATAATGAAACTCACGCAGTTAGACTAAAATTCAGAGCTTATTTACGTAAATCATGAAGTGGGTTATATGAGCATGTCTTTGTCAATTACATTCAGATTCAGGATTCTGAACTTGTATAGCCTTCAAAGCCCTTTGGGTATAGGAAAAATGAGGTCAGGAGAGGAATTCTTCATTATCTTTCATTCGGACAAAGAAATCATCACCTAGTTCGATATTCAAGCCAAGGGTCGAAAAACTTTGCTATGGCAAAATCTTGATCTCTGAAAGTAGACGTTCATCTTGCAAGCAGCCTATAGCGAGGCCGAAACTGCTGTCCACTTCTGTCTGGATGAGAACAACTTCTAGGAAAGCAAGGCTATGTGAAATTCAATGGAGACGTCAGCTCAACTCATATCATTGTGGGATATATCTACTACCAGTCCTTCATCACCTTAGATGAAATAGGGTGAATACATATCATGTGAATTGGGGTTGAGAGAAAAAGGTGCGGCACTAAAAGGTAGAACAAAAAATAGGGTCGAGAAGTGATGCCAAAAGGGTTGAACAGAAACTTGGTCAAAGGGATTGTCTTCACTTGTCACTTTGATAAATTGTAATGCTGTGCTTACGATGCCAGCTAAACGTTTGGGAACGTGCCCTGCCAATGGTCAGAAGCCGAAAGTCACCAATGCTATGGCAGATGACACGGGATTAGGTACGTTCTACAAGGTCACCCTGACGCTCCGACCAAGTTGCGAAAAGAGGGTTGAAGCCAACACTATTCAGACCCTAAATCCTCTTGTCGGTTTGCCCAGAGGTCTGTAGCTATGTTGTTCCAATCTGGAATGCACACATTGTTGCTTTTCATAGTGCCTTTCTCAGCAAAGTAAACTCCAATTTACTTGTTTTTCAACTGAATTTTACCATCTGAATTAATCACAAGAGCTTAGTCACCTTGGGTTACCAACGCTGTTTACGAATTACGAAATAAGTTTCTCCCACAATCTGATATGATAACCTCATGATGCCATTGAATTTCACGTAGCCTTGCTTTCCAAAAGTTTATTCTATCTAGTCTGAAGTGGACTGCAGTTTTAACTTCATCACAATGTTGGAAATATTCACCTATCATTACTTAAATCATCTTTCTGATAATATCAGAAACTACTTATATAAAAAATAAGTAACATCGTCTATTTGAATGGCAAACACTCAATTTTCTACCACCGTTCCTCACATTCAACGTATTTTTTAAGCTATTAATCTCAATAACCTTTCTTATCTTTCTTTTAACCGCAGAAGTACTATAATCAGCAAACCTACTAGTTTGAGCACATTGTTGGAGAGACTTTCATTTCGTATGAATGTGCATGAAGAAAAGATTCGGCGGTCGATCTCACCAGAGGACGACGGCTCATTCCCATCGTACTGCAGCCGTCTGGCTTTCATACGACCTTCAAGTTGACGCAGTCCACGAGACATCCGTCCTGGTTTCGGGTGAAAACTAGCTCAGCTTTCGTTTATCCTTTGATGGAGGTAATTAAGGCTGGAACTCATTCTTATAAAAGTGTCATGTTAACACTAGTTCAAGAAGACGAGAATAACTTCCAGCTCTGATGATGTCTGTCCTATGATCAAAGATAACTCAGCCCATTTCTACCAGAAATGAGGGCGGATGTCTTGTGGACTGCGTCGACTTTAAGGTCGTAGCAAAGCCAAACGGCCGACGTCTTCTGGTGAGATAGACCTTTGAATCGCTTTTTTGTGCACTTTTATACGAAACAAAAGTCCGAGAATATATTATCGAGACCCAATTGCTCTTCGTGCCTGCATAAGAGTTATATTTTCACTCAATTACATGCACAGATTATCGTATTCAATAAATGAGAATACTGGATTTTATTTTTTACTGAACTCACTGCGCTATCCTCGGGCATGTCCATAACCGTGCCCAATATGTTTTTGCAACTGTAAGTCGTTACTGGAATTGATGAGACTTGCACCTCAGTTCTTCTGGTCCTCTCCGAGTCTTCTCTAACGCCACCGGTGTCACTGTGACTTTCGGCGCCCCTCTCGCCTGCTGTACCAAGAATGCCATTCGACTGGGTCACCTTGGGAACCAGCATGCAAGGGGTAGCCAGTGTGCCGGTCGCGAGAGTCTGGCTCGTGAGTGACCGTTGTCCGGGCAATCGGAGAATGGCCAGTTTCACCGGCTCGCGTGTCATTTCAACGGCCGCTGTTTGTGTGTTTGCCGATGTGCCGAGTGTTGCTACCGCCGAGCCTGACGAGCTCTGGTACAGCGAAGTTGAATGTACCGGCTCGGCTAACTCGTATTGGTTTGGCTGCACCGTCTTGCTCAGTTGTTGCTGTGGCGTCAACGGCAACGGCAACGGCAACGACAACGGTAGCGGTAGTGAAGATTGCATCAACGGTTGCAATTTGACCGCGGTACCAGTGAAGCCTGTGTTCAGAATGTAGAAGTGCTTCTGCTCGCTCGACTGGCTCGACGGCAGAGGTGCCATGGAGACAGCATCCAGTGCTCCAATGTCCATTTTGTTGGTGCCACCGCCGGCGTCGTGACCGACCGAAGTGGGTTCGTCGGGCAGGGTCAATTGGATCGAGCCGGAGTCGCCTGTTTGGTCGCCGATGGGGCGCCGATTGATGGCGGAGCAGACGTTGGGCAAACGAAAGGTTTCTGTGGTGAAGAGGAGAGGTGCATTTGCCTCGATCTGGCACGAAGTGTTCAACGGAGCCAGGCGCGACAAGTGGGTGTACCGCGGAGTCGAGAGTGGGCTGCTGTTGGTTGTCTCCTCTTGACAATTTCCA